CTTTTTTTTAGTTTTGGATAGAGTGGAGAGGGTTTAGAACACCTGTGAGGTTGTTACTGCTGTGTCCCCGTTAGGGAGATTCACCCTCTTTATTTGTCCTGTTTACCTTTTATCATTGAAAGTGAAAGTAAAAGAAAATCCCAAATTTTGGGTTGTCCCCAGAAAAGTAATAGGAGGGGAAATCTTCTAATGGGGACACTAGTTCTGGTAACCTGGGGGTCCCCAAGGGACTCCCTTAATTTGCAAGGCTATTGGATAATAAAATTAGATTTGGATAATAAAATTAGGCTTCTCTTGCATACCACTCTGCATTTTTGTCTTCAAGTAACCACTATGCCCCCTCTATGGGTTTTTTTTACTATGGTTATGGGACAGAAAGTGGAAGGAAATCTCCCCAATGGGGCATAGATGTAAAAAAAAAAAATCTGACAGGGGTTATAATCCTCCCTTCCGCTATCCAAAATGAAAAAAAGCTTTGGCTATAGTTCTACTTTAACAAGCAGCAAAAAAAACCCATAGAGGGGGCATAGTGGTTACTTTTGAAGACAAAAATGCAGAGTGGTATGCAAAAGAAACCTAATTTTATTATCCAAATCTTATATCAAAATGTTTAGTTCCAAAAAGGTAGCAATACATTTAAAAATCACCAATATGAAAAACAAGCACTGATGGGCTTCAGACGTGTTAAAAAAACGCTTGACTACAGACAAACAAGACACAAACAAATGACCTGAAACACATACAAAGAATCCGTCGGACGCACAAGTCAAAACCATACAAAGGATTATACCACAGCAGTTGCCACATATAGTAATTAATAAACCAGTCAGCTAAGTATTTCCAATGTATGGGTTACTGGGAATTAGTTGTGGCCAATATATCAATATTAGGTCCAATATTACAAAGTAAGGAACTGATGTTTAATCAAAACAGATTATCAATGACCTTATCAAAAGGTATGTGGCTCAGGAGGGATGAATGTATCGGTCCCAATCAGGTATTAAATGGAATCGATTCCTCCTTATGCTGGTGAATAATTTACCTAAGGAATACGTTTCTAATGTAAAGAACTTATATGTAAATTTCCATCAGGAATAATAAAGATAGGAAAATACAGGTGACTTCAAGTCCTCAACCTGAACACGGCTAAAGAAAATGTTTAAGGGCACTGCGGGAGAAAGTATGCAGTGTGCAGCACTAAGATAGGTGTGCAAATATGCGGCCCCACGGAAAAAAGCACAGTCCAGCGGGGCCACATTTTGCGTACGGTCGGCGTGAAGAGGTTAAGGTGTAACACTTATCTTATTCCTCGCCCTGGCAGGATTACATATCTCTGGGTTGTGGCCGGGCCCTTACCATCCTCCCATACAATGCAGGATGGTAGGTCCCACACTGTACTTGGTGACATCACCGCACAATTGTCGATTGCAGCTCAAAGAGAAAAGGCTTCGAGCGGAGACCAGTCACATTGTATGACGGAAACCTGCTGGAATGAGGAATAAGGTATGTATTATACCTTATTCCGCTACCTCTAGAAGTAACAAGAAAGTCCAGTTAAATACTACAGAGGGGAAAAAACAATAATTTGATCCCCTGCAGATTTTGTACGTTTGCCCACTTACAAAGAATTGAAGGATCTATAATTTTTATCATAGGTGTATGTTAAATGATAGACACAGAATATCAATCAATAAACTACAAAAAAACACATGATACAAATGTTATAAACGGAGTTGACGTTCAGTGAGTATTATTATTATACAGGATTTCTATAGCGCCAACAGTTTGCTCAGCACTTTACAATACAACGAGAGACAATACAGCAACAATACAGTTCAATACAAGAGGGATAGGAGGGCCTGATCCTGGGAGCTTACAATCTAAGAGTAAAATAAGTATTTGATCCCCAAGCAAAACATGACTTAGTACTTGGTGGAGAAACCCTTGATGGCAAGCACAGAGGTAAGATGTTTCTTGTAGTTGGTTGCCAGGTTTTCACACATCTCAGGAGGGATTTTGCTCCACTCTTCTTTACAGATCTTCTCTAAATCCTTAAGGTTTCTTGGCGATTTGGCAACTCGAAGTTTCAGCTCCCTCCATAAATTTTCTATAGGATTAGGGTCTAGAGACTATTTTGCCCACTGTATCTAAGCTTAACCTTGTCCCAACCCCACCCACATTCTAATCCCTATACTAACCACCCTGTAGAGAAAAGATGTCTATATTTACCTATTCTGAGGGCACTTTGGTCAAGTCACATGATCAGCTCCCAGCACCAGCTTCAGTGTAGAGGAGGGATGACCAACAATGGATGCCCCATAGTAAGCCTACAGTTGACGTCACCGTCCAGGTACTGCAATGTTGTCAATGATCTCTCCTCATCACTGAACAGACCATGTGACAGCACAGGAGCACCCTCAAAGTAGCTAAGACATCTTTCCTTTACAGGGTAGTTAGCACAGGACTTTGAATGAGGGTGGGAGCAGATTTAAGCTGAGATAGTATTTGACTGGACTTCTGTTATAATGTGCATTACAGAAGCCCCAATGAAGCGTTTATCTTTTTCTGGTGTCTGGAGTAGGGCTTCAGATATTAAAACTTCACTGTAATTTCCAGAATTGTATTTCAGCTTCCATCATTCGGGCACAGGGCACCATGATAAAAGTAACACACACAATACTTTCATGTACTGCTCCTTTAACCATCAACAGCCTGGCTGGGATATAAAAGTCTATGCTGTATAAAATATCGGTGTCACGTCACCTGCAGAAGGGTGACACTAATGATGTGTGTCTTGTCTCAGCAGGTCCTTCTTCCAGTATGACCTTCCAGAAGAGAAAGTCAATTGTGTTACTATAAAAAGGCTGGAAGAAATAGCGTGGTGATCCAGCACACACCCTCACCTCGCAGCTGCTCGCAGGCCGAGCCTCGCAGGGACGCCCATACAGACAGAGCTCTGGCGGGTCGTAAACTTCAAACGTGTGCATGTAACCAAATAGTCAGTCTGTTTATTACTGACATCCAACAACTTCTCCAATATGAGATCCATAAACTATTTGCTTTCCTACGCTCTAAGTGTCTAAAATATCGGAGACAAAACTGGCTGATTTATTCTCTGCATCTGTGCTAAGAGAAATGTGTAGGCTACCACTGCTGATTTCCTTCAAAAAATGCCACCTGCCTGGCTGTCTTTTACTTCTCTATTAAGCTGCTGACCTGAAGCAAGCATTGAAGGCATACTTGCTCCAGGTTGATGACACGAGGGGTTCGAGGGCCCTGCTCTTTCGAGCTTACAATCTAGGAGGGAGGGGATAGTGGTGCAGGAGGAAGTGGCTGTGGGGGATGGAGTGGTAGGAGGAGTGGAGGAGATCGGTTCTTAGGTGAGGGTGGGGTAGGCTTCCCTGAAGAGATGGGTTTTCAGGGTGCGCCTGAAGGTGAGGAGGGTAGGTGACAGTCTGAAGGATTGGGGTAGGGAGTTCCAGAGGATGGGGGAAGTCCTGGAGAAGTCCTGCAGTCGGGCGTGGGAGGAGGAGACCAGGGAGCTGGAGAGTAGGAAGTCCTGTGAGGAGCGAAGATTACGGGTAGGGTGGTATTTGGGTATCAGGTCAGTTAGGTAGTTTGGGGCAGCGGTATGAATGGCTTTGTATGTCAGAGTTCGTAATTTGAATTTAATGTGTTGGGCAATCGGGAGCCAGTGAAGGGATTGGCAGAGGGGGGTGGCAGATGTGGAGCCGTTGGTGAGGTGGATGAGTCTAGCCGCTGAGTTCAGGATAGACTGGAGTGGGGATAGCATTTGTTTGGTATAATATCTTTCAACCGTGCATTTTTATTTTTAATCCATCTCCCACTTATTTTAACATTTCCAGGTGCAAAGAAATCTGTCCCCCCTAAGGGTATCAATAATGAATTAAATTTCCATTTCTCCTTATTGTGTAATTTATCCCATGTGTCTAGGTTTAGTTCAGCTTTAATCTTTAGATGGTCAGCAGATCGGCCTCTACAAATTCGGCGCAGTGCCTAAAAACAGAGAGCAACTGAGCATGTGCACGGCAGGGGGAGACAGTATATTATTGGATTTAAAACAGTATAGCACTTTTTAATTTTTAATGTTTTACATAGCAATACCCACAAAAGGTGCCAGCCTGAAGTTATCCAGCAGTACTTAATTTTCTGACTAAAGTTCCACTTTAAGTAAACTGTAAGATCATGCCTCTACACGGAGTTAAACAGTAAAGTGTAATCACATTCGAAATTCAAATTCGTGTGACAAGGTGATAAGATCATATTTGGAAGACAGGAACAGAGCGCTAAGACTGGAGGTGCCTGAAAAAGGACCTTCCTGGCAGAATCAACTGGTTTTATATATACTTTTTATGAAGGTTTAAAGGACAACTCCATCCATCAGTTTTCAGCAAACACTGATGGGGGTTCAATACCCTGATGTTTCTTGTATTTCTCAAACATTTTGTAAGATCTACCTGGTTCAGAACATGACTACAGTGCGTGCTGCACTCCCTAATTATTTTACATCAGGGTGGAGGCACACAGCATGCTGAAGAATAAACACTTTCATTAAAATATAAATATAATGTTTTTCCTTTAAACTTGCATTTTGATTTTAACTAATTGCCGACCACAGATAGCCAAATGGCGGCTGCACTGCGGCCGGCCAGTTCTGGGTGGGCGTCATATGACGTCCTCCCAGAACGCGCTCTCCTGCGCGCCCCCAGGGGCGCGCACCCGGCGATCTCCGTGATCGTTGTGTCCTACGGACACAGCTGATCACGTGATGTGGTAAAAGGCCAATCACAGCGGCCTTTTACCATGTGATCAGCCGTGTCCAATGACACGCTGATCACCGGGAAAATGCAAATGCCGTTTCTCGGCTGCACTTTCCTCATGCTGTCAGATCGTGAGGAAAGTACTGCCGAAAACCGGCAGTTGTCAGAGCGGGGATCGGCACCGATCATCAGGGTCACTGATCACCAGTGCCCTGATGATCGGTGCCCAGCAGTGCCACACACAAATTCCGCCCACCTGTGCCCAGCAGTGCGCCCACCTGTGCCCAGCAGTGCGCCCACCTGTGCCACCCAGCAGTGCGCCCACCTGTGCCACCCAGCAGTGCGCCCACCTGTGCCACCCAGCAGTGTCACTACCTGTGCCCAGAAGTGCCACCACCTGTGCCAACCCACCTGTCCCCATCAGTGCCACCCAGCAGTGCTGCCAGTCAGTGCCACCAGTCAGTGCCCAGCGGTTGTGCCAGTCAGTGCCCAGCAGTGCCACCAGTCAGTGCCCAGCAGTGATGTCAGTCAGTGCTACCTATCAGTGCTGTCTATCAGTACCCATTATCAGTGTCGCCTATCAGTGCCACCAATCAGTGCCGCATATCAGTGCCACCTATCCGTGACACCTCATTAGTGCTGCCTATCAGTGCCGCCTATCCGTGCCACCTCATTAGTGCCGCCTATCAGTGCCCTTCAGTGCTGCCTATCAGTGCCCATCAGTGCCGCCTATCAGTGCCCACCAGGGCTGCCTCATCAACGCACATCAGTGAAGGAGAAAAATTACCTGTTTGAAAAATGTTATAATAGAAACAAAAAAACTTTTTTTTTTTCAAAATTTTTTGCACTTTTTTTTGCTTATAGCACAAAAAGTAAAGTGCCCAGCAGCGATTAAATACCACCAAAAGAAAGCTCTATTTGTGAGAAAAAAATGATAAAAATTTCATATGGGTACAATCTTGCATGACCGCGCAATTGTCAATCAAAGTGCGACAGAGCTGAAAGCTGAAAATTGGCCTGGTAAATAAGGGGGTATAAGTGCCCGGTAGGCAAGTGGTTAATATACACTGTACATCATTCAATAGGGGAAATAAAACCCAAATAAAATAATGCAAATAAATATTAGGCATGCCCACTCTTTCCTTTTGAAACAGCATCAATTCCCCTAGGTACACTTGAATACATTTAAGGATTTTGCAAGCATATGGTCTAGTTGCAGGATTAAACAATTATACTAAACAAGTGCTAATGATCAACAAGATAACATGTACATTCATTACAATAAATCAAACAAGAATGTGCTGTGTAGGAGGAATGGAAGGGGTGAGGAAAAGTGGCGCTCTACTAAAAGGTTGAGGTCGTTGAAGACAGTTCAATGCAAAACTTCATACACAATTGCTAGACTGAGCACAGCAACTTGACACAGCGTGGTCTTACTGCATCAACAAGATCTCTAATGGGCAGAAATAGAAGACAGGTATTTACAGATGTGCTGCCCAAGCTCTTCTGCAAAAGCACACAGAAACAGGAATGGTTGACACTGGAAAACAATGTTAGCCAAGGAAGTTACATAGGCTGACTTCCCTTCACAATCAGATATCCAGTGGCCCAATCAGCCCAAACTTGGCAGAAACCAGTAAGACCATGATGCACCTATCTGCAAAGCGTAGTCATAAGTGGTCTTCATGGAAGACTTGCTGCTAAAAAGCCATACATTGGCCTTGGAAAACAAGATCAAGCAGGTCAACTATGCATGACAACTCAAAAACTAGGGTACAGAAAAAATGGCAGCAGATGCTCTGGACTGATGAATCCAAATTTGAAATATTTGACATTTTGTTTGCAAAGGCCTGGAGAGCAGTACAAGGATGAGTGTCTTCAGGCAACAGTAAAATATGGTGGAGTTTCCTCCCAGGTTTTGAGCTGTAAGATTTGGTCGCAATTAATAGTCACCTCTGTGCCGAAAAGTACAGGTAGATGCTTGTCCATTATTTATTACTACCAGAGAGACGTCTGGTAAGATTCAATTCATTCTGCAGGACAATGACTCCAAACATACAGCCCTGTGTTCTGGAAGAGATGGTATGACTCCCACAGAGCCGTTGATCCCAACATTGAGTCGGTCTGTGATTACAAGAAGAGCCAGAAACAACCAAGACAGCCTAAATCCACAGAACAACTGAGGTGAGTTCTAGATGTTTGGAACAACCTGCCTGCTGAGTTCGTTTAAGTGATTGTAAATCTCTGAAATGAAAACGTAATCCCTTGGAGCAGGTACCTCCAGGCCCTTTAAGGGGTTTTTGACAATGGGAGGTGGGGGGGTTTAGGGATCATGTGACTTTTGTGAATGGCTGTCACCTGGTCGAAAAGCTCCCGACCACAAGTAGCGATCGGGGACTTTTCCCATGAGGCACTGGTAAATGTGCCGGGAGCGCACTCTCAGCACATCTTTTGCTTACATTGGGTATGCAAATATACCCCTCAGCGCCAAGGCCCAGCTGCATGTTTACGTACTCTCGGAGTCAAGTAGTTAAAGCGAACCTTCAGTCATTTTTGTAACTCTCTGTACAAATAAATCTTCTGCCCCTGATGGGCCATCATTGAAAATCAAAGAGTTAATTTTGTGCCGGTAAACACCTTATAATATTCACTTCTGCCTTGTCAGCTTGTCATTCACCTGGGTGAGTGCCGTGTTCTGCTGCATTTGTGCGGACTCCCAGGGCAGAAACGTCATGTATTCCAGGAGTCACCGTTTTTTTTCTTTCTTTCTTTCGCACTCTCGTGAGAGTTTTCTGCTCAAGGAAGGGGGGCAAGGAGAGTAGAGGAAGAATGTGGGAAGGCAGAGGAGAGCTAGAGCTGGAGGGGGCCGGAAGAGGGCAGACATAGGGGGAAGACGTGTGGGGATTGTGGTATTTACCTTGCGTGCGCGGCCGGGAGCCTTTTTCTTGCGCATGCACAAGATTTAAATGGGCCAGCGAGGCAGAGCGATAGCGTAATGCCAGAATAGTGCGGTTGGACTTCAGTTGCCCAAAAGAAATATGGCTTCTTCCAGAAACAGTGTCGGGTATAAAAAAAAAAAACCTGGAAAATGCAAACCTTACAATAACACTTATTGCTAAATAGACGTATTGCTGCTTACACTGCATTATGCTATATTTTTTTAGATGAGGCATCTTTGGATGCAGTTCCTCTTTACAAAGCATATCCTTCTATAGTGTGTACTTACCTCAATTCAAAGCACTTCGTGATTTCTGGTTGCACTCTCATTCCTCTGCTATCTGCACGAGTCACCTCGGACAGTTCATGCAACACCACACAATCCCGGCAGACAGCCCTGCTCCCCCTCCAGCACACAGCAAGTACTTGACAGCCTCAGCTGTGCACAATTCCTTAGGAGACTTTGTAGAGGGGGTGTATCCATTCCCTCCACCCAGATCTCAGATTACACTCCGCCCTGTGCTGTGCAATGTGTGATGTAAGACCTCCACCCTTTGCATTCTGGATGTTAGGAAATAACTTTTGGTCTGTGTAGTTTGAACAGCTGTAGAGAAGAAAGGCTGCTGATAAAAAGGTACAACTTACATTATGTAGGTGGATTTGCTTCATCTCTGTGCATCACATGAAGCCATTTACTTCACTGGGTATATGTAAGGATTTACAACCACTTTAAACTGTATGCAAGTGTACTAAGAACTGATGCTGTTTTGCAGGACCGAAGGCCTAAAGAGTGGACGACCAAATATTGAGTTGACATAGTTGGATTGCTATTGCTGTGTTCCTACTGGGGTGATTTTTCTTCATTTTCTGTCATGTCACTGAGACAAGGGAGATCAGTCTCCACAATGGAAATGGACTGCAGTGATAAAAGACAGGTATAACCTTTCCTACTCCAAATCCTAAAGAAAAATGTCTGTGATTGTTAAAATTGTTGAATGATACTGTAACTGCCACAAACGTAATTTTAGATTATATTCCCAGAATCTCCGGCAAAGCCAAACCATACTGGCAATGGGAATTTCTGCACCGTGAGGACTGCACAGTATTGTCAGTCTAGTACAGGAACTGCAGAGTTTGTCCAATAAATACGCAGAAGACACAGGAAGCTGCAATGCTTCAGAAATAGTTGTGTGGATCAGAAGAAAGCCGCAGCGCTCCAAACTCTGTTAGGATTCCTCTGCTCCCTCAATGCACCAGGTTCTGGCCCCAAACAGCTCATTCTGCTCGGTATAACAGCAAACAAGAGGCTGCACTCTAATGACATCATACAAAATATTTTGTTCAACAAGATGCCTTCTGATACAGTGACACTACCCATAGCCACACGCTGCTGACGCATTTCACCTCAACTGGTTTAATTCGTAGCAGTAGTCAACAGCCAGATTGATTGAATAAACCTACGATGTGACATCAGACTGCAGCCTCGTCTTCTGTGTTTGCTACTTTACTGAGCAAGTAATAATGGTGTCACCTTCTGAACTGACAATGGGGTGCTTGGGTGTGTATGGTTGGGCAGACTTTCAAATCATTTGGCAGGAGTGACAGTTCACACATGCTTGATTTACCGGTTTACTAGGATTCTTTTCTAACCATTTCTGAATGTAAAAGGATAACTATTCACTTTTGGCCAATTACAGTTTTTAAAGTGATACTAAAAGGTTAATTTTTGTTTGTAAAATGACAAACCTGTTAATACTTACCTGTTCTGTGTAGTGGTTTTGCACAGAGCAACCTGGATCCTCCTCTTCTAAGGTCCCATGCCGGCGCTCCTGGCTCCTCCTTTCTGTCGGGTGTCCCCATAGCAAGCAGCTTGCTAAGGGGGCAACCGAGTAGGCGTATTCCTGAGCTGCTGCTCCATGTGTCCATTCACACACAGAGCCATAACTTGGCCCAGCCCCCTCTCTTTCCTAACTGGCTGACTGTCTGTGATTGACAGCAGCAGAAGCCAATGAGGAGGCAGAGACCCGGGACAGCCAAGGCTGTTATGCACATTGCTGGATCACGATTGTGGCTCAGGTAAGTATTGAGGGGGCTGCCAGCACTGCTGCACACAAAAGGTTTTTTACCTTCATGAATAGAATGCATGAAGGTAAAAAACCTTGAGCCTTTACAACCACTTAGAGGTGTACATATTTAAAAACTGAGGTTCGATATTTTTTAGCATCTACAGAAATATTTATTTTGCAAATAAGCATTCATAGAGGAGCACTCATGACACTGGTGGAAAGCATTCTTGTCTTTCTAAGCTGGCTGCTTATTTCCTCTGTGATAATCTGGCCAGGCTGTAAATGCAGATCAGAAGTGTAGGAGTGGGGGGGGGGGGGGGGTTGTCTCTCCTCTGACACATTAAACTGTGTGTGCAGTCACATGTCCTGCTAATAAGAACTGTTTTAATACAGACAATTTAAAGCGGAGCCCCACCCAAAAAGGGAGGTTCCACTTTAAGCCTTTGTCCCCCCCACTCCTCATTAAGGATTAGCACCTTTGCAGAGCGTGGGGGGGGGGGGGGGGGGGGAGCGGGTACCTGAATTTGACAGGTACCCGCTCCCACTTCCGCTGTGATTGCCTAGGCGATCAGAAGCGGAAGTTGTCCTCCCTCCCTCTCTCCCCCGTAGTCTTCTGGGACACATGACAGGTCCCAGAAGACTACGGGCCATTCACAAAGCACAGTGCTACTCGCACATGTGCAGTGGGCACCCGGCTGTGAAGCCACAAACAGTCGCAGCCGGGTGCCCACACTGAAGATGCCGGTGCCAGGGAGAGAAGACGGCCGGTGAAACCAGCCGTGGTGAGGACACTGCTGGACCGAGGGACAGGTAAGTGTCTGTATTTTAAAAGTCAGCAGATACAGTTTTTGTAGCTGCTGACTTTTATTTTTTTTTTTTCCAGGTGGAACTCAGCTTTAAAGAAAAGCGTGTGATTTCATTGCACACAGTTGATTGTTATAAGGCGATATTAACAGAGATTTTCTGTTTTACTTTAAGGCACTTGACATCTATCAAGCTATATACTATCTTGCCTATTCTTTGTGAGCCTTTTGTTTCTACGATTTGGAGGTATATAATAGTCTAGTTAGCAGTGTCCTGCTAAGGTCCCCTGAGAAGGCATTATTATAATTGTATATACCAAAGTATATTGGAGACAGAGATCATTTCTGTGTTAGGATGAGAGCCATGAACTAGGAATCTCCTTTTCCTCGGGCAGTGTGGTGTGCGGGCTCCTGTGTATGCCTTGGCCTGGGAAGTCCCGGCAATATTCGGTCCCATTGGGGCTGATGGATCTGACATACCAATTGTGAAATTTTAAATAAAAGCAGTAAATTTAAAAAAAAAAATGACGACCAGAGCTCCACCTGCTGTCTGCAAGTGGTAAAGGAATATTAAAGTAACTCATAAAATATTAAACTGTAGTATTCCATATTTAGTATATGTGTTCAGTTCTGAACATAATATAGAAATATATATAAAACCCTAAATAATGTCGTTATTAAAAGAGAAGGATAAGTAAAAAATGTCTACAAAGTCGTATTCCTCAAAGAATGGCATGGGCAGGGGGGCAATGGCATGTTTATGACTTGCGTGCATCACAGCATTGTGGGTGAAGTGCACAAAGCATTTATTATAATACAGGATTTATATAGCGCCAACAGTTTGTGCAGTGCTTTACAACCTAAAGGGAGACAGTACAGTTACAATACAAGAAAATACTAGAGGGCCCTGTTCATAAGAGCTTACAATCTAATAGTGTGGGGCAAGTGGTACAAAACGTAATAACTGGGAGGTACATTGATGGAAGAGTTAGAAGTTCAGTTGTTAGTTGGAAGTGTTATAAGCTTGCCTGAAGAGAGTTTTCAGGGATCACCTAAAGGTGGCCTGAGCAGGAGACAGCTGGACAGGTTGAGTTAGAGAATTCCAGAGGATGGGAGAGGTTCTGAAGAAGTCCTGGAGACAAGCGTCTTGGAAGGAATGGAGAGGACGGTTTGGGTGATATTTGGAGACAAAACTGGTGATGTAGCCCGGGGCAGACTTGTGAATTGCTGTGTATGTTGATAGTATTTTGAATTTAAGTCACTGCAATAGGAAGCCAGTGGAGAGATTGGCAAAGAGGGGTGGCAATCACTGAGTGGTTATTAAGGTGGATGAGTCCGGTAGCAACATTTATGATAGACTGAAGAGGGGATAGCCTATGGCGAGGTGAGTCTATGAGAAGGGAGTTGCAATAGTTAAGGTGAGAAATAACCAGGGAGCGTCGATAGTTTTATTATTTAAATGGGGGAAAATTTTAGAGATAATACAGATGTGAAGTCTACAAGCTTTTGACAGCAACTGGATTTGGGGCTGAAAGAACAGGTCAAAGTCTAGGATTACCCCTAGCGTCCTGGTATGAGAGGAGGGGCCGATAGTTGTATAATTGATCCCATCCTAAAGTGTTATTAAAGTAAAAAAGAAAATTAATTAAAATAACAAACATGTTATACTCACCTGCCCTATACAATGGTATTGCACAGAGTAGCCCCAATCCTGCTCTTCTCAGGTCTCCCACCGGCAATACTGCTCTTCTGCTCCTTTGTGTCCCCATAGCAAGCTGTCTGTTATGAGGGCACACAGTGTCTGTGCACGCCCGATCTGTGTGTCTATGGAGCCACAGCGGGACTTAGCCCTGCCCCCATCTCCTCCTCTCTGCATTTGATTGACAGCAGTAGAAGCCAATGGCTCCTGCTGCTGCTTGAGTGCTGTGTGAAGAGGAAGATACAGCAATGCACAGTACTGGATCTCTTTTCCCCTTTCTTCCACTTCACACAGGGAAGAGGGAGAACAGACAAATAGTTTCATAGTTAGTCTGGCTGAAAAAAGACAAAAGTCCATCCAGTTTAACCATATAAAACAAAAAAAGTTATAATCCTACACCCACATTTGATCCAGAGGAAGGCAAAAAAAAACCAGCCAGCATGATCCAATTTGCTCCTACAGGGAAAAAAAAATTCCTTCCTGATCCCCCGAGAGGCAATCAGATATTCCCTGGATCAACTTTACCTATAAATGTTATATCCAGTTATATTCTGTGTATCCAAGAAAGAATCCAGGACTTTTTGAAGCGATCCACTGAGCTGGCCAGAACCAACTCTTGAGGGAGTCTATTCCACATTTTCACAGCTGTTTTTTTTTACCTTAATGCAAGGAATGCATTAAAACATATTTTTAGCTTTAGTATCACCTTAATGGAAAAGTCAGGAAGGAGGGCACTCCAAGAGCCAATGAAAATGGCATTGTATTTGGAAATAATCCCAGAGTCATCTTGTATGAAATGTTTCCAGTTATGGTCGTAGTAATGTATGCAGGTTGTAAAACAGAATAACCTTTTAAAATCCAGCAAATCAACAGACGCCGGGATAACAGAGCCTCTTCATAAAAGCTGCCTTGTTGAATAAAATACAGCAAGGCAAATCTATGCATTTTGAACTATCCATCCTGATGTGAAACGTGAAAATACAGTATCTCACTCAACTTGATTTAAAACTGAACAGCTGGCAAAGCCCGAACCTTTACCATGCTCTATCTAATCAAAGGTTAGTTGAAACATCGAAGGTAAAAGCTCAAAACACTCACCTAAATCTACAGTCATGTGATGAGCCAGATACCGCGTCTTCTATTATCCTCCTTGCAAACGAAGACGGGTACTACTTTGGGTGTCCACATGACTATTTGGATGACATGGACATTTTTCTATTGGCTGTCTAGAGCAGCTTTTCTCAACAAGGGTGCCCAGGCACCATGGGGTGCCTTGAGCTTTCTTCAGGGGTGCCTTGGGAAAATTGTCTAAAAATTACCCCAAAACTTGTATACAAGCCAGCGGGTGGAACAAGCCTGCCTTTTAGTTACACAAAGTCACGGGTTTTCATTGTGCACCATTACGTCCTTCTAGCTGCCGGCGTCCTGACAACCAGTGATATTATCAGTTGATAAGGAAGATGTCAGCTGCCTGCACAGCATCCTAGTTTGACCCTCCCCCGCCCCTCTCCATCAGTGCTGGGGTCACATTAGCTCAGTGATGGAGAAGAGAAACGGTACCAGTGTACAAAAGGGTATTTGCTTTGGAAGAATAAATCACCCCCAATGTTGGGTGTCCTACATGTGCAGATGTTGCTGCGTTATATAAAACTATTAAAATACTTTTTCACATTTTAGAATGGAGTGTCCTCAGGACTGTCCATTTTTAAAGGTGCCTCAGGACTGTTCATAATTTTAAAGGGTGCCTTGACTGAAAAAAGAAAAACAATGGTCTAGAGCAGGGGTGGGCAACTGTGGCCCTCCAGCTGTTGGTGAACATCATGCCTCTGCCTTTGGGAGGCATGCTTGTAACTGTCAGTTTTGCAATGCCTCATGGGACTTGTAGTTCTACAACAGCTGGAGGGCCACAGTTGCCCACCCCTGGTCTAGAGGTAGGGTCCTTTAGCATTCAGAAGACTTTTGCCACATGGTGAACTCACAAAGAGGAAACCGGTAGGTGTGGGCACAGACTACAACAGGGGATCCACCAGTCAACACTACGAAAGCAGCGCTGGCAAGTAACACAAATAGCAGACAACTTCATATAAAAAGGGCTTCAGAAGGCATTTACCATTTTAATAACTGTGATTGGATTGAAAGTGGGTGGGAGAGGGGAATGTAAGAGCTTTGCCGGGAGATGGGCTTTGCGTCTTTTATGAAGAGGAATGGTTGCCTTAGTGTATTTGGGTTTACTGTTACAAGATTCATGAATGTGTACGAAGCAGCAACTGGTATAAAAGTACCTCACTTATAGGACTTTTGGAAACATTTCATGGTTAAGAGCTTCAGATACAGTCAACGTATTTTTTGGGGAAAAAAGCCTCTCTTCTTCAGGGCTTGAAACAGTCGGTGTTAATAAAATTACAACAGAATGCACAAAAGGGACCTGTGTTAGGCTTCATATACACAAGCAGCTGCTAAATTCGAGTTTAGGAGCTTTTGGCATCTTTTTGCCACAGATCCTGAACTCGACTCCATAAAAGCCTATGTCCATGTACACATAGGTTTTCGCAGAGTTTAAGAGCTGCCGCGTTTAGGTGAGGTTAACCTCCCTGGCGGTATTCCCGAGTGTAGCTCGGGGTAAAGTTTCAGTACCATAAGCGGTAACCCTGAGCTACACTCGGGAATACCATGCGGAGCTGCTCCGGGATCCCTCAATCACTTACCTTGTCCTGCACTCCCACGATGTCCCTCCTGCAGTGTCCCCGGCAATGTAATCCGGCGGATGCCGGCATCTGTCATTGGGTTCCGTTCTCTGCGAGCGTCGGGACATATGGGGTTAGAACGGCGGGAAATTTGAAAATGACAAAAAGTGACATTCACTAAAATCACATAGTTTAACATTACTGTATCAAACCATTTCACATACATTTTGTCCCGAGTGCTTTGTCCTGCGCCCTGCCTGCATTTTACTGTTCTTTCTGCCTGGAAACTGAGAAACGTCCATGGCGTCCAAAAAGCGTCCCTTTAGGTCAAAATCGGTTTTAGACCGGCTAGAGAACAGCGATAGTAAATCAGAACCACTTGCAGAATTGAGTGATAATGATTCGTGGGGAAATTCGTCATCAGACACTGAAAACGATTTGTCAACTTTGCTCAGTGATGTGCGATCTTGGCGCTATATTTCAAATTTCAGTGTTTTTGGTTTGATTATATTATTGAATTAAATTTATTATATTATTTTTTATGATTATTAAATTATAATTTATGATTTCGTGTTTCAAGTCTTATCATACCCGGGATGTTTACTAGACTCTTGTTTGGACAGATTTCAGTGAGTTATTCCTAAAAATTGCAGGCCTACAATAAAAAAAATACATATTTCCATGCAAAAAAATGTACCGCTTTGAGCACAGAAATATGGACATAATCAGACCGCTAGGGAGGTTAAACCTCCCTCTCCTGAAAACAAAAGAGTCGAGTTCAGGATAGGAATGTTTTGACCGTTGACCATGGCAAAACGCAGCAACCGCGGTACTGCCTTTTTGCAACGATTTGCATTTCCAGCAGCCGGAGGTCAGAGTACATGAAGCCTAAAGTTGTGATGAAAACTAATGTTTCCTGACGGAACTGACAAGTAGTCCTTTAAGCGAGAAACTTTTGCAGCAGGTACTCCTCCATACACTTCCTTGTGTCACCCTCAGAGAGGTAGTAGCCTAGGACCAGAACAGGGTACACTAGGCTTCAATCATGGATTTGCTCCTTTTAAAGAGGAACCACTTTATGGTAGATCTCTCTGAACCACTTTACTTCTGTCAGTCTGGCACCATCACACACACACAACAGGCTGATTACAAGATTTAGGAACCATGGCTAGGCTCACAACCTATTCTAAAGGATAGCATATACGAGCATGGAGGTGGTGCTAAAAAGCTGCCATGATTAGTGAGCTCAAGGAAAGCAGCACCATTCCAGGCTCCAATATTCCTTCCCAGCCACGTATGCACCAAGTGCCTGCCAAGGGAGCCCATCCCCACTCCTAAAACTGTAACTGCAACAAACTGAAGGTCGCACTCGAATGTCATTACTTCCTTGAAAAAACAGACTTGGGGGCAGGGGCTGACTGACAACTCATGGGGCCCCTGGGCAATAGGGGATCATGGGGCCCCTGTGTCCTTGCCCAAACTCAAACAAGCCTATGAAAAAGGTACCAGGGGCATCTCATGGGGCCCCCTACTGACATCGGCCCTCGGGCAGTACCAAATGGTCAGTCCGCCCCTGCTTGGGGGTAAAAAGGTGCTAGAAGGGTGGTTTTCAGGGAGGTACATGCAACATGATGGCTTTGGCTGAAAAAATTTTTACAAAGACATGATATCATCAAAGTATGGCCTTCAGTTTGTTGCAAAATGCCATGATTCCGAAAGCACCACACAACTGACCAAAGTTTAGAAATCAAACATATGATGTTTTCTTGTTTGAATGGGAGACACCAAGCCCACCTTTCCCCCTCTGCTTGTTTTCTTACAACATAGCACAGCACTGCTTCCATCTGTATCTGAAAGATGAAATCTGGAAACTTGGCACGTTGGCTTCCCAAGCCCATGAAATATGTTGCTGTTCTATAAATAAAGAATAATAATTATGCAGTGTGATCAACTTGCAATACTTCTGGCAGGGAAGACCACAAAGGCTGCCATTTAGACGAAGGGAGCCAAGTAAGCGGCAATGGGATTGGCTGGCTGATTTATGCTGGAAAATGTTTAAAGCAACTATGACATTAGCGATGTACTGGCAAAGCACAGAGAAATAAAAGCAGGAAAACAAATTAGGTCTAGTGGATAAAAACTGCTGGAAAGGGGGTTAGTGCAAAACCTGCAGCATCTCTGCATAGAAACCAATCAGCTTCCAGGTTTTATTTCCAAAGCTTAAGTGAACAAGCTGAAGCTAGAAGCTGATTGGCTACCATGCAGAGCTGCACCAAATTCTGAGTGCTCCAGTTTTAGTAAATCTACCCCAAAGTGTCTAGCAAAATGGCAGCTGCAAACTGACTGGTTGCTATGGGCAACAGACACTTCTGTTATTTATATTGGTCTGAAGACCTATGCTTCCTCCTAGCAACAATCCATCCTAGCAACAGGAAAAAAAGAAATTGATTGGTTGTTTGAAGGAGCAATCTTCCAAGAATGCACTGCTCTAGGAGGTCAAATCTATTAGTCTTCCTCGGGTATCGAATGAGCAGCAGCTATTAAATGGGAGCCCTGGTTTATCTAAGATTCTGAAAGGAAAATTGTGCTCTTAACAGCAAGTTGTCCTGCTCCTGTTGTAGGAAAGTGCCCTCCTAACTTTACGGGAACATTGGCAACAGCTGCTAGGCTATCCCAATATCGAATCCCATAATTTTACCGAAGAAACCACCTTCTCTGCTGGCAAAACAAAGCAGCCATTTCAAAATTGTAACCGCTTTCAATTAGAATTCAGTTACAGGAAGACTGAGTGGGTCAATACAACCAAACCATCCAGCAGGAAATAAAACTACTGATGGTAAGGTGGTCATGATCTGCTCTGTGGTTTTTGCAATTGAAAACCTTTTGAAATTGCGAAAGACCACTGTGTATGGGCACCAATTGGGTTGGGTTGGCATGCAGTTCTGCCCCCTTCCAGCACCCATTAAAGGGTTAGTTACCTTTACCAAAAAATTGCCTATGCAGATAAGTGGTGTGTAGATGAAAAAAATACTGCAGCTTTGACCAAAGTTGGAAAATGCTCTTGTTATAGCTGTAAGCCATTTATGTACCTCCCAAAGCCAGACTAAAAAACTCCCCAAGATGGCATCCCCATCTTGCTTTGTTGTTAGGACATTGCCAAGACTCCCAGCTAATTCAAACCCACTCAGATGCACTCTCTCCCATGCAGCAGTAGCCGTGAGCGCAGCGATGCTGCAATGGAAAAGATAGTGGACCACACAACCGCAAGGGTTTAAGAGCTAGCTACTGTGATGGTGGGATTGAGCACTAACAGCTGGGAGTGTCTTAGCAAAGTCCTAGCAACAAGGCATGATGGGATGAAAAACCTGGGGGTTTCTTGGCCAGGCTTCGCAAGGTACGTAAATGGCCTACACTAATAGCAAGGGCATTATTCAATTCACAGCTTGTTTTTATCTAGAGGTGTCCTCTACCTGCATAGGCAGTTTTTTTTTGTAAAGGTGGACTAATCCTTTAAAAGGCATACCTAAATGTATGTATTGAGCCAAAGCACATGCACAAATTGGCCTGGGGGGGGGGGGGGGGGCATAACTGCCTAAATGCTACATAAGATCTTGGGGCTGTGGCTGTCTATTGTCTTTCAATTACTTCCTCTTGTGGTTCAGTTGCAGTAGAGCACTGTTCATTCAACATACACTGTACAGCCAAAAGTATTGGGCCAGCCCTGCAAATCATTGGATTCAGGTGTTCCAATCACCTCCATGGCCACAGGTATATAAAATCAAGCACCTAGGCACACAGACTGCTTCTACAAACATTTGTGAAAGAATGGGTTGCTCTCAGGAGCTCAGTGAATTCAGGCGTGGTCCCGTGATAGGTTGTCACCTATGCAATAAGTCCATCCGTGACATTTCCTTGCCACTAAATACTCCACAGTCAACTGTTAGTGGTAACAAAGTGGAAGCAACTGGGAACAACAGCAACTCAGCTACAAAGTGGTAGGCCACGTCACATGACAGAGCACATGCTGAAGAGCACAGTGCGCAGAATTCAACAACTGTCCGCAGAATCAATAGCTAAAGACCTCCAAACTTCAGATTAGCACAACAGTGTGCAGAGAGCTTCATGGAATAGTTTTCATGGCCGAGCAGCTGCATCCAAGCCTTACATCACATAGAGCAATGCAAGAGACGTGTTCTCTGGAGTGACAAATCACGCTTTTCTGTCTGGCAATCTGATGGACGTGTCTGGGCTTGGTGGTTGCCAGGAGAACGGTACTTACCTGAATGCATTTTGCCAAGTATAACGTTTGGTGGAGGGGGGATTATGGTGTGGGGTTGTTTTCCAGGGGTTGGGCTTGACCCCTTCGTTCCAGTGAAGGGAACTCTTAAGATGTTGGCATACCAAAGAAATTTTGGACATTTTTAAACTCCCAACTTTGTGGGAACAGTTGGGGTATGGTCCCTTCTTGTTTCAACATGACTACGCACCAGTGCACAAAGCAAGGTCCATAAAGACATGGATGAGCGAGTTTGGGCTGGAGGAATTTGACTGTCCTGCACAGAGTCCTGACCTCAATTCGATAAAAGACTTTTGGGATGAATTAGAGAGGAGGCTGCAAGCCAAGCCTTCTCTTCCGACATTAGTGCCTGAACTCACAAATAGAAGAATGGTCAAACCTTCCCATAGACGCCCTCCTAAACCTTGTGGACAGCCTTCCCAGAAGAGTTGAAGCTGTTATAGCTGCAAAGGGTGGGCCAACTCAATAATGAACCCTATGGACTAAGACTGGGATGCCATTAAAGTTCATGTGCGTGTAAAGGCAGGCCAACCAATACTTTTATACATAGTGTATCTAGGGGGATAATCTTTTGCATCCAGTGTGGTGTGGACTTGGCCTGAAAGTTTTTGGGAGGCACACAACTTTAACAATCCCTAAGAAACAGCAAAAATCAAACAAGCATGGGTAAGTATGTCTTTCTTTGTATTTAACCAGTTCTCTACTGGGCCAATTCTGACTTTTCTCACCTACATAAATCAGTATTCTTTTTTTTATTTTTGCTAGAAAATTACTTAGAACCCCTAAACATATTTTTTTTTTTAGCAGAGGCTCTAAAGAATAAAATGGTGGTGGAAGCAATTATTTACATCACGTGGATTTGCATGGTATTTAAAAAAAATTAATTTCACACAAACACATCATAAAACCTACTTTTTGGTTAAATTATACAAGATGATGTTACACCGAGTAAATAGATACCGAACATGTCATCATGCTTTAAAACTGCGTACGCCCGTAGAACAGTGCCAAACTACAGTACCTAAAAATATCAATGGCAATGCTTTAAAAGCATTTACAGGTTAACAGTTTAGAGTTACACAGGAGGTCTGGAGCTAAAATTATTGCTCTTGCTCTGATGTTCAAGTGGATACCTCACAAGTGTAGTGCTAGCTTCATTTACGTATGCGTTTGCAGCCAGGTAAGCAGCTGATCAGAACGATTTGTGTTTGATTGGCTGCATTGGAGACATTCTTTATGGTGTCCCCGTAAGGTTCAGTCAATTACTTGCTGCTGAAAGGACCAAGCTAGGAAGCTTTGAGAAGTCTCCTCAAGTTACTACTTTGCCCTACAAATGTATCCCACAGTTACCCTGCACCCAAGTTCAAGTTTAATAAAGCATCAGAAAAAGGATACCCCTAGACTAATCATTGAGCTAGAAGAGAGACTGAGAATGTGTACCTGGCTGTGAATACGCTACCTTGGGAAAGAATCTGGGGCTCATTCAGTGGGCCCCTTAGGGGGTGAGCATTACACTTGTTTTCACCTTTATCATGCTTTTTTTTGCCTCTCAGTGTTATTGCTCTTCATCCCATCCACTTTTAGCCATTTTCTGTCTACATACACTCACTCCAGCAAGTCATGTACGTCGTTTCTCCAAGTGAGTTTCCTGATGCTGACCATAATGATCTATGAATGCACAATGTGCACTGATACTTATAGTTTCCACTGGAAGTGCAGTCGCTGATTGGTAATTATACCCTCATTACCATTCACATTGAGTCTGCACATGGACACAAAAAAAACAAAACACTTTCTTCAGAATAACAAAAGGTAGGAATCTGCAACAAAGTTTGCTGAAATCACTGCAATGTACCATAGATCATCCAGAGGGGAATGGTTTTTTTTTTCAATATTTTTTCAACTATTTACAACCCTAATTTTAAAAAAGCTGGGCTGTTGTGTAAAATCTATAAAAAAAACAGAATGCAAGGATTTGCAAATCTCATAAACCCATATTTTTTCACAACAGAAAATAGAGACGATATCAAATGTTTAAACTAAAAAATGGACCATATTAACAAAAAAATAATTTTCAAGTTGATGGCAACACATCTCAAAAAAGTAGTGACAGCTATGTTTACCACGGTGTATCATCCCCTCTGTTTTTAACAACACTCTGTAAATGTCTGGGAACAGAGGAGACTAATTGCTGAAGTTTTGGGAGAGGAATGTGGTCTCATTTTTGCCCGAACAAATGCTGCCCAATCTTTCAGCATTGAAGGTGCCTTTCCAGATGTGTAAGCTGCCCATTCCATATGCATTAATGCACCCCCCCATTCCATCAGAGATGCAGGCTTTTGAATGGAGTGCTGATAACAAGCTGAAAGGTCTCAATTCCTCATTAGTCTGGAGGACTAAAGTCAAATTTTGATTTGTCTGAACACAGAACAATTTTTCCACTTTGAAACAGACCATTTTTTAATGAGCTTTGGCCCAAAGAAGATAGCGGTGTTTCTGGATCTATAAATATAATGGTATAGCACGAATACATAAAAATTTATATAACCACATATAATGATATTAATAATAAAAAACATATACTGTGACACATATATAGTGATATGATCTTCTCTGGAATCTTGAAGTGACAAGAAAAACGTGAAAAACACGTAGTCCTAATTGGACCCAATTTAGTGAACACACACAAAAAATGACAACTCAAATCCCTTATTGGGATCAGTGGCTAAAAATCAGCCTAAAAAAATCAAACCAAACAAGTGACACATGAAAGTGAATCCCTGCAAAGGGGGATAGAACTCCTATATAAAGTGACTCATACTTAATGAGAACTTCACAAAAAAACTCCAAATATTACAACAAATATATGAAAACCACACAACAATCTCCCCCAATTGGTAGTACATAAAAACATACCAAAAATGACTAAAAATAATTGTATAGTGAAATATACTTCTAAAAGTATAAAACAATGTAAATTAAATAAATAATTGTAAAAGTCCAAAAAAATGTGCACATATGCCAAGTGTTCCACTAATTCTTCCAAAACATGCAGGTGATGCAGTGGATGTGCATTACAGCCGCTGGTGATAAAATCCAAAAATGGCTGAATTGCCTCCTCACCTCCTTACTGTGACCCAATGAGCCAAAACGCTTGTGGGATCACAAATGGATCCTCCACGGACAGATTCCCCTCTGTGGTATCCGTCCACATAGTAAAGGCCACTTCAGTAGTATACGTTTAGCATCTCAGCTCCCCTTCAGGTTCCCTTCAAATGTGCGTAACCGTAATACATCCAACTCACATATGGATCATAATAATGACATTAAAGAGAGATCCTCCATAGTGTAATACCATTTAATGTAAACAGAAAGACATGGCACCGCCAATTGCCCACTCACTTGGTATCAACAGAAAACAAGCATTTAAAACCACATGCTATGGGTGTAGTTTGCATGGGTTTTAGGAGTAGCAAGATGGCGTCCACGCCGGAAGTGTGTCACCACGTACCAGGTACTTCCGGCATGGACACCATCTTGCTTCTCCTAAAACCCATGCAAACTACACCCATAGCATGTGGTTTAAATGCTTGTTTTCTGTTGATACCAAGTGAGTGGGCAATTGGCGGTGCCATGTCTTTCTGTTTACATTAAATGGTATTACACTATGGAGGATCTCTCTTTAATGTCATTATTATGATCCATATGTGAGTTGGCTGAATATTTCGGTTACACACATTTGAAGGGAACCTGAAGGGGAGCTGAGATGCTAAACGTATACTACTGAAGTGGCCTTTACTATGTGGAAGGATACCACAGAGGGGAATCTGTCCGTGGAGGATCCATTTGTGATCCCACAAGCGTTTTGGCTCATTGGGTCACAGTAAGGAGGTGAGGAGGCAATTCAGCCATTTTTGGATTTTATCACCAGCGGCTGTAATGCACGTCCACTGCATCACCTGCATGTTTTGGAAGAATTAGTGGAACACTTGGCATATGTGCACATTTTTTTTATTTTTTAAAAATTATTTAATTTATACTGTTTTTTACTTTTAGAAGTATATTTCACTATACAATTATTTTTAGTCATTTTTAGTATGTTTTTATGTGTTACCAATTGGGGGAGATTGTTGTGTGGTTTTCATATATTTGTTTTAATATTTGGAGTTTTTTTGTGAAGTTCTCATTAAGTATGAGTCACTTTATATAGGAGTTCTATCCCCCTTTGCAGGGATTCACTTTCATGTGTCACTTGTTTGGTTTGATTTTTTTAGGCTGATTTTTAGCCACTGATCCCATTTAGGGATTTGGGCTGTCTGTCTGTTACTTTGTGTGTGTGTGTTCACTAAATTGGGTCCAATTAGGACTACGTGTTTTTCACGTTTTTCTTGTCACTTCAAGATCCCAGAGAGGATCAGATCACTAAATATGTGTCACAGTATAAGTTTTTTTATTATTAACCACTTCCTGTCCAGACACTTTCACCCCCTTCCTGTCCAGGCCAATTTTCAGCTTTCAGCATTATCAAGCTTTGAATGACAACTGTGCGGTCATGCAACACTGTACCTATATTAATTTTTTTGCATTTTTTTTGAGACAGATAAAGCTTTATTTTAGTGGTATTTATTCACCACTGGGATTTTTATTTTTTTTTGCTATTTAAATGAAAAAGTCCAAAAATGTTGAAAAAAAATTTTCTTATAAAATTTTGCAAATAAATAACATTTCAGCATAAATCTTGGCCAAAATGTATTCCGTTATATTTTTATTAAAAAAAAAAAAAAACACAAATTAGTTTATAACCAAAAATTATAATTTTTAAAAAAAATTTTTACTTTTTTTTATATTTGGTTTTTTTTTTTTGTTTTTTTATACATACTGTCACCCTAGAAGTACAGTGTCACCATGGTGACACTGTACTACTTGTGGGGTTTGATGAAGATTTTGTTTTGTTTTTTTTACACTGATTGCTTTTACACCCATAAAGGCTGTAAAAGCAATCATTTCTCATTCTCTCTGGCTGCATTCTTGCAGCTACTGAGAACTATGTGAGCTGTGATTGGTCACAGCTTGTCACATGGTACAAGGCTGTTGTGAATAGCCTTGTACCATGTGACCTCTGTGATCA